TCACCCAGCAGATGCCTGCCTGCTTAAACTCTTCTGATTTCATTGCCCCGAGGTCTGAGAACTCCATCGCCCCTTTGAAGTGTCAATTTTGTTCTGAAGAATCCCACCAAACCCTGCCACCCGATAAATATGGCTCCCTGTATGAAACTGGAGCCTCGTAATATGCTGGCTCCTTTTGAGGAAAATAAGCATTTCTTCAAATCTCTTGATACTAGACGCAGCTTTGTTTTGTTTTACAATCAGATTAGTGGATAATCCTGTCTCCGCTTTGACACAGAAATTACTGTTAGGGCAGGTGGGAGTTCATTCATCAAGTCTGGAAAGTAAAGTTCATCCAAACACTGTAAGAGCGTATGTTACCATTACTTGAGTGGGTGGTAGGCATGTCCAGGCTGTGTGAGAACAAGGCAATCTACAGTGAGCAACTTACGGGTTAAATGTAATGAGAAAATTAGAAAAGGACAAAAAACAAACAAAAACCCCCCAGAAAGCATTAACTTATTTCACAAAAATCTGCTCACCCAACCGAGTTTATTGAGTATAAAAGATCTTCGGGGCTGGCAAATAAAGAAACAAGTAAATCTGATAAGAAAGCGACTGGTTTTGCAGCAGCTTGCAGCCTCCCAGTGTTAAACCAGGGGTGTCTGACTGTTCCTTTCTGTGTACCAGAGGTAAAGAGGAGCAATTTGTCGCCAATTGCTTGACGTATTCTCTTGGCAATAGGAACAGAGAAGCTGTTAGGTAACATCTCTTTCCTTCCAACATCTTCTGTCTGTTTCATCTCACTCTGCTTAACACACAGGATCTGAGACTGTCATTCTACACATTTTTAGAAATGTGGTACTTAACAACCCCATCACAGTAATCTGCCTTTGATTTACTCTCTTTGTGTTGGGCTGTATTACTCTGGAATCCAATCTCTTTCTCTGTTTTTTCCCTCCAAGACTGAATTTCTCCGTTTGTGGCTTAGCATATGTGATTGAATAGAGTCCTATGTGATCAATAGAGTTCATTAAATGTCCCTATGGGAAGCTATCTCAACCTGAAGCTTTCTACATTGTGTTTACCTGCAGCTCGCTTTGCTTTATCAATTCAAGTAGTTTCACTTTTGCTTATGGCATAATAGATTTTATAATTAAATTCCTCATTCCTGGCCATCCTCTGCTATTTTCCTAAATGTACACTGAAGTATCCATTTGGTTCCCTTCAGTATGGGCTGTGGGCTTTGGGGTGGGGATGTTAGAAAGGTTTGGTGTAGCTGTATGTTTTTGATGGGTAGGTGTTAGATGGATTTCCAAAGGAAGGCTGAAGGAAAGAGTGGCTGCACCTGTTGTTCCCTGCGGTTGCTGTGTGGTGGGGTTAGCACCTGCTCGCACGGCTGCTGTGTGGATGTCTGTGTGGGCAGCAGGGATAACAGGGAAACCATTCACACCCGCTCCAAGTGCTGTCTGCAGCCCCTCTCCCTCAACACTTGTGCTTTCTGCTCCATCATTTCTTTTTCTGTGTTTTTTTTACCCCCCCTGTAGTTTATGCCAGGACTGCTTCATCCTTTGCATTGTTAGCCTGTCTGTCTTTTTCTGTCTGTCACCAACCATCTCTTTTTGCCTTTCAGCTCGCACAGAAAAACAAACACAAATTACAGCAGCTGGAAGCTGTAATAGTCCTTCTGTGGAACTTGATAGCTTTTAGTATGAAGGGTGAAGTTGTAAACAGTGAACTACATGTAACTGTTAAATCACTTCAGTAGAAGCTGGGACAGCGGTGACTGAGCACTTAACTTTGGCTATAGAGGTTGTGAGTGCGCAGGCTGGTTATGGACTATTCGGGTGTCAGTTCTTGTAACTGTAAAAGGCACATTTAGGAGAAAAGACATAAAGTGACTTCAGTTTGTGTCACTCTGTGACTGAACCTATGCGATGAAAATATTGAGGCACATGTGTCTATGTGTAAATTCACAACAATTTTCCATTTCTTCAATTTCATTTCATTTATCAACTGTTTTCTTTGCGCATTCACCCTGTAACCACACAAGTGAGTAATGACATAATCAATCGACTTTATGGCTTCTAAATGATCACATCTGACCTTTTCTCTTGTTAAAGAAATAAAAAAAAAACCACTTGCAAACACTAAAGAAAACCATCATAAATGTACACAGAGGGGCAGTAAAATATGTCACCGGGGAGCAATGGGCACAAATCACGACCTATGATCCAATCCAAATGAAAATGTTAATTAAGCCGTATCCGTCGTTTTAATGTTACATGGTAATGTGCATTGTGAGTCTGTATTTATTTAAATATTTAGTTATTTTGCTGAGACATCACTCAAGCCTATAAAGAATAAGCATTTCAAAACCATATGCAACACGTGAAAGCAAAAATGATGAAGATTTGCACGTCATACGCAAATAACACCAAACTTGCACAGCAGACACAAAGAGCAGCTCGTGCCCACAAAGGTCCAGACGGTACCACATCCAAGCCGGAGGACTGTAATAATGCAGCATGGCGTTTAGTGGCAGTAATAAAATTGCACACTTATACACTACCTGTTCACCCCAACCACCCTCCGTTTCCCTCAAAGCATCTGTTCATCTATCCATCTCCAAACCCCACCATCATTTGGCATACTCACCGCGCCAGATGGCCAGGTATTGGAGGGTGAGGCAGGTGCCAATCGCCAACTCGCCCTCGCCGGTCGATCTTCTTCTTTTCTATGATGAAACCGGGGTTGGGTAGCACAGCTCGGGGGTATTCAAAGCCTCTCTAAAATTGCGCTCCTCAGCCGCACCTCACCTGTCCCTTCCCTCTGTTGTGCGTCGCCGTAGCATCACTGCGCGTCCAAAACGCCCAGTCAACTAAACGTTTGGTTTTTTTTTCTCCTCCCTGAAGGAAAAGAGTCCGTAGTGTAATTGCGTAAAATCTACTGAGGTTTCTGTGATCTCGAATGCGTTTTGCGTCCCGTTAGGTTTGTTCCGATCCTTGCAAATTCCTCAAATCCTGCAATTGCGGGGCAGTATGAAGTCTTCTTTCAAGAGGTACCGTGCAGTTTTCTGCACTTGGTCGAGCTGCGGCTTTGAAATCAGTTGTCAGCAAAATCTAATCCCCTTTTTAAATTTACAGTGGCGAGGTGAAACGTCCAACGCAGAGCAGGCACAGTGACAACAGGGGCCCATAATTCACACCCCCATGAAACACAGTCCTGCAGTGGATCAATGATGAATGGAGGACCTCTCTCTCTCTCTCTCTCTCTCACACACACACACGCACGCGCGCACGCGCGCGCACAAACACATACAGGTCTATACGTACTGCATGTTGTGAGTTACAGAACATAAACATAAAGCTGCAGAGTGAACTAGCACATTAACAATATTTTGCCAAATAATAAAAATACCCGAATAAAGCTTATGACTAAATACATAACTGGCAGACGCCTTCACCTTAATGAATACAAAGAGGGTTTAAAGACAAAGACATGCACCTCTACTTCTTATTTAGGAAAATGGTGAAATAATAAGTAGACAGATGTAGGGCCGGATCTATACCAAAATATCACCAAGTAACACTTGTTTTAATTGTAAACGACATCAGCAAAAAGACATGAAAATATATGGATATATATCTGTTATTCATTGCATAAAAGCAAACTCAAACAAACAAACACACAAACAAGCAAAAAGTGTTAATCAGATAAAATAAAATAATTAATAAAAATATCCTTGCTCTCAAATTCATTATAAGGTTAGTTTAGCATACTGTATTTATATTATTTCTTTTTCTTTTTCCTGCCATGTTCTTTTACTAACCTTATTTGAGGTATTGTATTATTACATTTATCTCTCTTTTATAGTTCTCTGTCTCATATTACCTACAGACATATGCATTTCATCACATGTAGGTATCAGGACATTGGTTGTCCACCCTGTTTCCCACCACATAGTTATACAAATAGTTTTACATATGCATATACACAGATATGTCTGGATCAATGCAAACTAAGTCAGTAAGGAATTTTGAAGGGCTGCTATGCCACATTGGTCTCTGTTTTTAAGTCCTTCATCACATAATTGGGCATAATGCGAAGAGTGGGTTGAGAGGGTTATTAGTGTGAGTGGTGAGTGCTAAGAATGCAGTGGATCTGAGAGCTTGGGATGGGGGTGCAAATAATTGTGGAGGCAGTAAACAAAGACAAGATTTTGCATTCAGAAAGCTAGGACTTCCTAAAAACTAAGAATAAATAAAATAACTGATATCTAGTTGGTCTCATTTTGTTTTGTTTTTACTCCATGTTATTGAAATAATAGAGCGTGCACACACACACGCACATAAATCCATTCTGCTGCATAATAAGCACCTTCAAGCTCGACACAGCTGCATTTTGCAGTACTTCTGGGCTTATAATTAAGATTTTAAATGCAGCATATTTACTACTGATTGAGTATTTTCTGCACTGTGGCATTGGCTCATCCTCACTGCTGTTCCAACAAATAGCACATTTTCAAATACATTTTGTCTCCAGTGAATATGAAAAAAAAACAACAACCCTTACTTCTGTGACCTGCTGTTCGAGCTATTTTAATTTAATCTCCCAGATTCACGGATTTGATTAAATATGCTCTATTATTATTATTATTATTACTATTATTATTATTACTATTATTATTAGTAGTAGTATTAGCATTAGTACTAGTATTATTATTTTGTTAAAATTTTGAAGAACTTTGTAAACCCCTCCACCTATTTTGTCCTTTGTAATTACACTGGTGTTACCCATATAACTGACACTATATAGAAAAGATTGACAGTGTGCAATAATAAACAATGATAAATAAAATGATAACTGAATGTCACTGTTTAAATTTACTTGCGGACAATATCTATTAAAAAATAAATTTCAAGATAATAAATTATTGCTGTCACATTATAATAAAGCTATAAAAGGGATTACGTTCTTACGTCACTTCCGGTTGTCGTAAGACAGTAGTAGAAAAAAAATCTGTTTGCCATGAATATCAGCTAGCTAGCCACCGACAGCTGTTAGTACACTTGAGTAAAATCATCCATGTCAAGGCAAAAGAGGGAATATCGAAGTCTTGTGCTGCTTCTGTGTACAAATAGGGGCACACCTTCCTGCCTCCAAGCCTACTGTGAATCGGTAAGCAGCTCGCATTTAGGATACCTTGCTAACGAGCTAGCCGCCGCTAGCTGCTTGCCTCGCTAACGCTAAGTGATGATCTATTCGACTCGGAGCTGATATTAACGTGTGCACCGGCTAGTGTGCAGCAGCAGCGTGGCCCTTATCTAGCTCATCGGTCGCATGCATTGCTATGCCAGCAGTCTGCTGCAGTTATACAGCCAACATCGATGGCTAACACTAGAGGTTATTATCGTTAACCATGTAGCTACCGTTAGCATATCGCTCTGTGTGACTGTCTGCTGAGGGGGTGTTGAATTTAAGCACTCTTGTCCACCCGTTTCAAGGGTATCTAAATAACCTTAATCTCCCCCTGAGAGGTTAGGAGCTACAGTCCACACCTGAAGTTAAATATTTCATATTTACTTAAGATTATGGGTCGTGTGCAATGATGTCAACAACAGCAGACAAATAATGGGTTGTCACATACTTTCCACAAAGCTGATCTCATCCTCATACGATTCCAGGATGCTATTGACTTTTATAATTGTATATGACCTAAATGTAATCCAAAGCAGCGGCGACTGTTTTAGACTGAGACTCATAAAGCGGCCACGCCTTTGTAACTGTATATTGCCATGTATAATTTTGTCGTGTTGCGCGACGCAAAACCATTTTAAACATTTCTTTCTTTCTTCATCTTCTTCTTTTTCTTCCTAAAAAAAAAAAAAGATCCAGCTGGCTCAGTGACAAGACCAGAGGACGTTGGCACCATTGTGTGCCAGTAGATTTCAAGATACTGGGATTTTTGAATCCAGGTACGTCCATAACAGGACATAGCAGGGTTTCCCCAAGGCAGCTGGTTAGCAGAGGTGGTTAAACTATTTGTGTGTAGCCATCCACCCAAAACCGAATTTTTTATTCACTTTGAAAAACACTCTTCACCAATCAGTCTGTTTAAATTAACTTATAGTTCTTTTGGCATCACATCTCATCTTCAGTGTAGTTAGCAGATGGCAGTTTAAATCTTTGCCTCACTGATTAAATATTTTTCCTTTGCTGAATGATGTGATACCACTACTCTTCTCATAAGCTAAATCATCTTTCCATCCATCTTTTACTTATCCAAATTAAGGTTGGTGGGGTGTGGGTGGCTGGAGCTAGTCCAGATAAGAGGCAGGGTACACCCTGGACAGGTTACCAATTTTTGCAGGGTTATTGCATAGAGACAGAACAACCATTCGCTAATCACTAATTAATCTGACCCCATTCATGACTTTGGCATGTGGGAGGAAGCTGGAGTACCTGGAGAACCCACAAAGACATAGAAATAACATGTAAAGGAAAGACAACAGTTCTATCAACTGCACCATTGTAGCGTTGTAAGCTTAATCAGCCAAACAATAATAAATATGTAAAAAAAAAAAAAATTTAAACAAAGAAAGAAACTGTGGGAAACCCTGTTGTGAACTAGTGGTTAAAGGCTTTGCTTGTAGCATGTTGTTTTTGTTCTGTTTTTCCTGACTCCTAATTATTCTGTCTGCTATATCTGTATTTCCACCAGAAGATGAACGGTCTGTCCATACGAGAGCTATGCTGCCTCTTCTGCTGCCCCCCATGCCCAAGTCGCATTGCAGCCAAACTGGCTTTCCTCCCCCCAGAGCCCACCTATGCTCTTCTCCCTGACCCAGATCCAGTTTCTGGGGCTGGAGCGGCATCTGGGTCCACGTCTGCGACTGGTCTCCCTTCTCTCGGAGCCCCTGGACTTCGCTCTCGACTCAGCACTGCTAGCGGAGGTGACAGAGGAGGCGGCGGCGGTGGTGTTGGAGGTGGTGGCGGTGGTGGAGGAGGAGGTGGTGGTAGCAGCAGTGGCAGTGGTGGTGGCAGCAGTGTTGGGAGTGAGGGCAGGTGGAAGCTGCATCTCACAGAGAGAGCAGAGTTCCAGTATTCACAGAGAGAGCTGGACGTGACGGATGTATTCCTGACCAGATCTAGCCGAGGAAACAGGGTTGGATGCATGTACATTCGCTGTGCCCCAAATGCCAGGTGAGAGGCACAGCAGCACCTGGAAACCATGAGACATTTTTTGGATAAGTGGATCACAACCTTGTGTGTCTGTATTTAGAATGCAGTTGTTTGTGGGATTTCACACCAACCCTGGGCCGCACAACTCGCTGCCTAACTTCCTTTTTTCCAATTTTTCTGCTTTGTCCCTCAGGTTCACTGTTCTGTTTTCCCACGGTAATGCAGTAGACCTGGGCCAGATGAGCAGTTTCTACATCGGATTAGGGACCCGCATCAACTGCAACATCTTCTCTTATGATTACTCAGGCTACGGCGTTAGCACTGGCAAGCCTTCTGAGAAGAACTTATATGCTGACATTGATGCTGCCTGGCACGCCCTGCGCTCAAGGTAAGAAGGCCCAAATTCAGTCCTTGGTGGGTCCAAACCTAATGGGCAGCAAGCATGAAATGCCATTTAAGTTTTTAAGGGCCACTTACATCACTGACTGGTAACTTTTTGAAAAAAACAAAACCCAAATAAACAAAAAAAACATTTGGTTGGCTCATGAAAGCTTTTTCCCTGCTGACCACAGTGGCTTCTCTCTGTCGTTCAGCCAGTGTAGTCACAGCTAAACAGTGGCTCGCAGTCAAACAGTAGGATGACATACTGTGCTCTACGTGAAGTGGTGCATCTAATATTCTTCTTTCTTACTTGTCCCTCTTGTTTATCTGCTGCCATCATAGTTAATGAGCCTAATGTTGGTAGAAAATTAACATTTCCAGATGGCACCGCAGAGGACGCTGAACAAATAAAACAAGATTCTGGTTTATTTCAACATTTTATTTTTGTGCTTTTCATTGTGGCTTATGCCACGTATGTTTGTGCTTTTCAACAAGTTTTCCCCCAAACCTTTTTACATGCATGAATCCCTTTTGTTTTTATTTATTTTTTTCTTGTTCACGCGAATCATTTTCTTTTCTTTCCCCATCCTGCCAGTTGGCCTAATCACCCTGCCAACTGTGCAAACTGTGAGTGTAACTAGCAATTACAGCAAACAGTAAACAGATTAACTACTGTAACTCAAGCTTATGTGTGCAAGCATAAAAAAAACGCTTTAACTTTGCACAGCATGTTCTCTCTTTAATATTCAGGGGTGGAAGAAAACCGTTCAGAGCACGAGTCTGAAAATTAGCGTTTATCTGGACATGAGAAGTTTCACACTTGTACACTGTGCTCAACATATTTCTGTGTTCAGTGTTTGCACTTGCATAGCATTTGTTAACCTGAGGTAATGTGGTTCCTCTTCACCCACTCTCACACCTGATGGCGACTGTGCAGGATCAGGACAAACTTGCAGTCAGTGTTTTGTCTTGTGGAGGAGCTGGGAATAAAACCACCAACTCTCTGATTAGGGGACAGGCTGTGTCACTTATTGCCAAAATTTATTGTGAAACGTGAATTTTTGTGTCTCAGGTACGGCATCAGCCCTGAGAATATCATCCTGTACGGACAGAGCATCGGCACGGTGCCTACAGTTGATTTGGCATCGCGGTTTGAGTGTGCTGCTGTGGTCCTCCACTCTCCTCTCACCTCCGGCATGAGGGTTGCCTTCCCCGACACTAAGAAAACATATTGCTTTGATGCTTTTCCAAAGTAAGTTCACTTCCCAAGACTGCAAACCTGAAGACTGTCGATTTGATTACTTGGAAGTCATTTAGAATTAAGTGAATTATTACAGTTTAATTAAGTGAAAAGGAAACTTGACTAGCGTCTCAGTTCTTTTCTGAAGCAGAATTAGTCCATCTGTATGTTCTAACTTCTTAACAGTGTTGATTGTTGCAATAGAGCGATAGTTTGAGACATCATATTTTAAATTCAGTTCATTTAAAAGGTACAGAGCATGTGTTAATGAACATATCGATATAAATATGCCTGGATTAGCCACAAAGCTACTTTTATATATAGTCCCTTGCAGGATATTAATACTTTATTTCTAAATGGTGATGTATAGCAGTGTGATGTGGTCTGTTGAAGATATTTTCATAGACTTGATAGGACTGCTTGGAAAAAGCAGATGCACAGGGGGTTTTATTTATTATTTTGTTAATGTTCATTTTAAATCCTCGTACTTGCTCATTGCTCTGTAAATGTTTTTTTTTTAATGAAAGATTGGAAAATTGTACTGTTTTACAACCAAATCGAATGATACAGAGTTTAACCATGTTTCGATTGTTGCTGAAATTATTAGCATTTAGATAGATTGCAGAGAAACCTTCAGAATGACCACATGCTGTTCTTTGTTACAGAAGAAATTAAAAATCTTATAGAACCACCGGTTTCAAATGCAGATCCTCAAAAAAGAAAAAGAGATTAGATGTAAAATCAATCTGCATGCCATAAGACGTGCTGAGACAAATGCATTACAATGGGACAGAGAAATTGATTCCGTTCTCTGCATTTTCTGTAAATATTCTTCCAGCATCGAGAAGGTGTCAAAGATCCCATCTCCAGTGCTTATCATTCACGGTACAGAGGACGAGGTGATCGACTTCTCCCACGGCCTGGCTCTGTTCGAGCGCTGTCCCAAGGCCGTGGAGCCGCTCTGGGTGGAGGGAGCGGGCCACAACGACATTGAGCTTTACAGTCAGTACCTGGAGAGGCTACGACGCTTTATTAACCAGGACCTGGCTGCACAGCATGCCTGAGAAACACACAGCCTCTCTGTGTTTGTATGAATGAGACTGTGTGTGTGTATTTGTGAATACGTGGGGGGGTGGGTGGATATAGGCATGTTTGCATAGAAATATGGGTGAAGGGAGGGGGGGGCTCTAAAGGGGTTGTGTGATTTTTGGTCACATCTGTGTGTCTTGAAGCAGCACACCTTCAGGTTAAACACAAACACAAACTATGTTCTGTTTCCTGTTTTAAAGGTTAGAACATTTTTAATAAGGATAGATGACACTACAGTAGATAAAGAAACAACCTCACAGGTGCAGTTTTTAATGAGGGAAGAGTTTGATTTGCAGCTTTAAAATGTCTTCACCTGGTTCACGGTGTGCGTTGTCGCAAAAAAAGGCATACAGATGTAATGGTGAAGTGTCTGGTGGTGAATGTGTGTGCTAACACTGTGAGTGTTGCTTGTATAGTCATACCCCCATGGACCTATGACACCTGAATAATGTGTTCACACGTTTGTGTGTGGGTGAGCGCTGATAGAAATGAAGGACATCCTGATGACTTGGACATCTGAGAGTGGAGGAGGCTTATGGAGATTTATCAGATATTGGTGTTTTTTTGTTTGTTTTGTTTTCTGTGTCTGTATGTATGAAGAATACCTCCACAGCTTGACCAGTTCTCTCTCCTGTGGACAAACACTGGTCAAGCACGTGCACCCTTCCTCCTCCCCTCCTTGTTTACTGTTAATGAACATCCATCTGACTGCCAGGGCATTTACCAAGTTGTCCAGCAAACACTACCCTCCTCCTTTTTTGTGTGGTTTTGGGGGTCCATCTCCTGTCCTTTGGTGTCAGTTATGGTGGAAATGCAAGGGACAAGCCTGGAGTACTGTCACAGTGTTATGGCTCTTAGGTGTCTCATACATTTCTTTTCTTATTTTGTCTCCAAAAAGATCAAAGAATGGTGAGCCTCCCTGTTATTTCCCGGCTGTTACATTTGACTGTCTGCAGAATTGCAGCTACATGCCACAGGGAACTATTTTAATTTCTTTTTTTTCATGTATAGTTTGACATTTTTCATACTCATTAATAAGTGGTTGAAATGGAAATAAGCCTGTCAGAAGGCACATTAACAATACTGCTATAGAAAAGCAGGTCTACTCAGTATTTCTCACCTCGCATTTTAACAGAAATCTGTTGCCCATCAGGTACTAATGAATGACGTTAAGAGGTTGGAGTGCATGGGTTTGGCAAGATTTAAGGAAAGGTTTGGCAATTTGGGACACACATACAATTGTCCCAGAAGGTGACTGCACCCAGAAAAGAAGTTGTCCAGCCTGTAACACCCCATAAAACAACTGCATGTCACATACAAAGGGTTATATAGTAAGGGTTATAGTGGCTGCTGAGTGGATTTTGTCACCTTTGCTTAGAGCCAGGCTGGCTTCCCCTCCACTTTTCCAGTCTTACTTGTAAGCTGGTAATTGCTGGTTGTCGCTTCACATATATATACACAGGTGTGTCATTCATCTCATGTGACTTCCAGCAACAACAACGACAAAAAAAGAAGCAAATATGCACATTTAGCAGATGTCAGATTGTACATTTTAAGCCTGGAGTGCAGCTGTTGAGAAGGTTGTGAATAATTGTAGTTTCTTCTGGTGAATTGTGGAGATTGATGCTCTGGTTGGATTCAGAGGCTCTAAAGGAATAAGGAGACAAAATAGCTGCTCATTTCCCCCTAAACCATAAGATGTTATGTTCATTTTATTCTGAATTACCGTGCTTCATTAGAAGTGTACTGAGAATTTGTAGTCTTACAGCACAAGTTGATTTCGATGTCTTGTTACCGTAGCACTCATCACCAGGGTTAGTCAGCCTCCGCACATTTTTAAAAAAAAATTTTTGTAGCGTGTTTTTGTTGTTGTTTTATTTCTCGTCATGATTGTAATGTGTTTGTTTTAGAATGGGCCATGGGTTGTTTCAGAACCACGCATGTTAATGGTAAAGGCTAACAGTGCGATTCGGATCAGGTTGCCGTGAAGGGAGATCATGTCTACTAGCTCTGGTTTAACCTCCGTGGCCCTAAATGTACAGGAGCTCTTTTATGGGTGGCAGCACGCTTCATGTGTGACACAAGCCATATTTGAGCCTCTCACTGTTGGTGTGGTGCAGGTTCCACCACACACACAGACACACACACACATACACACACCTTTGCACATCATCACACACATACACACACCCGCACACACACACACATACTGTCTCATACAGTATATTTACACATTTATATATATCAGATCAAGCATGACGAAAGCAGGTCTTAAGTTCAGCACTATTGTACAAAGTATCCAAAGTGTAATAAGGGTATAAAATGTAAGTTTCTGTGTCTTCTTCATTACTATAGAGTGTGTTCTAAAGGCCAGCATCAAAGATACAAGAGTCCTGTTTGGACTAACAGGCCCTGAAAAAAAAGCATGAGAAGGTGCCTACTGCACAGCAGACCCGCCGGTGTCAGTGATAGCAGCTGCGTTTTGTCAAAGGGAACATTTACTGAACTAGCACTGATCTGATTACTTCATTTTGGGAGTACCAGTGGGGCTTGGTAAGCAGCAGAGCAGAATTACTGAACACCACTCAACTTCCTGTTAATTGTTTTTAAACTGGGGAATATTCCCGGTTTCATCTTGTGGCTTTTTTTTTTTTTTTTTTTTCTGTCTGATATTTGAATAACGGAAAACTGCTACCTTCTCGAACCAGGGATCTGAACTGTCGGATGAATTTGAGAGTTATTTATTTCCTCTCTCTCTCTCTCTAGAAGTAAACAGTGTCTTTGAGTTTTTCGTTGACAGGTCGAGTTATCAGGGAATCCTCTGTATCCACATCTCACTCATGGGGTCAAAGAAACTGTGTGGAAACCTACCGTTTTATTGATGCACCACTATAGTTGATGTACATTGTATCCTCTGGCCTTGAATGTTTATTGATGTGGTGGGGGTTCGCGGGTGGGGTGGGGCGGGGGTAACAGTGGGGAAAAAACCGAAACTGTATGCATGTCTGTTGTGTTTTGCGGAGCAAATGAGGGGGTGGTTCATTATCTATCGTGTAGTCTGCGGGAGGGTAAAGCTGAACTCACGGCATTGAAACATTGAAGCGCTTTTTAAAAATGAAAAAAAAAAAATGGGACATTTGAATTTTTTTATCGCTGATACTAACTGATGTGTTGTTGAGTTTTGTGCTAGAGTGGGGCAGTGGCAGGCGGGTGGGCGGGTGGGGCTAGATAATATTAGTGGACTGTTTATATGGTTACTGTACTTACCTATTCTATTCTTTGTATTATGATTTGTAATTTTATGTTGCTTTTTTTGAACTGAGAATATGATGTAATGAAATTAATTCATGGGACTGAATCTTGACCTTTTTATGGACAACAAAATAAAATCACTTATTTACAAAAAGATACAATTGGTAGGGTTGATTTTAGACAGTCATTGCATTTTTCCAAAGTCAATAAGTTAATAGGTTGGAGTACAAGACCTGAGAGGCAGCGTTTGAAAAATTACAGTACATATTGACATAAAGATTTGAAAGACATGTAGAGCTTTAAATAAAAATAGCATGTAATATAATTTATATTGCATTTGCACTTTATCTAAAACTTATGTACCTAAATATAGTTTGACACATATAAGGTACTGCGCAAGAGTCTCGAGCTGTCCCTCAGTTCTTTATATTTTGCTTCCAAGCAGTCAGACTCTCATTGAACCTTTTCTTGAGAAATAATTCTCCAGGCTTTCTCAAAGTCTTTGGACGTTTTCAGTCTGGCCCTTGTCCCTGGCCATTTTCAATTTGTTCTTATCTCTAAGAAAATGCCAACAATAACACAGTTTAACTAGCATAAAATAGTTTTTTGGGGGGTACAAGGTGATTCTCAAAGAACTATTAGCCAAAAATCACAGCATATCTCTGCATGGTGTGCAGTGTGCTTTTAAAGATTTGTAGGAAACTGACAAGTGTCAGGCCTAAAAAAAACTATTGATGAGCAGTTGAAACTCTGCCCTTAATAAACAGCAGAGAGCTGACCTGGACCTGATCAGAAATGGTCTCAGTGGAAGGATGGCTGTCAAGAAGCTGTTCTTAATGAAGAGAAATGGAGAAAAGGCTGAGTTATGGCAAATTACATGCAGAAAAATGCATTTTAGAAAGTGTCTGATTGCTACAGCATCGTTTTTCAGCCCGACAATGATCCCAAACACACTACCATTGCAGGAAAAGCAAACCTGTACAGAAAAACTAACAATGAAACACTATCAGTCATGGATTGGCCTCAACATTATTGAAGCAGTGCAGGAACATCTTGACAGAACAAAACACAAGGCAGCCAATATCCAAAGAAGAGCTTTGAATGTCCTTCAAGAAGCCTGGAGAACTATTCCTGAAGACTACTTAAATTAATTACAAGAAAGCTGCCTGTGTTGAAGAATAAAGGTGATCATAACAAATATTGATTTTAACCCTTGTTAGAATTCTGTCGTTGCCTTTCCATTTATATTAGCAAATTCAAATAAATTGCATAAACTTTCCATTTTCCTGCCAAAATAGAAAGAAACAAAAGGTGGTTGGAGACTTTTGCACAGTACTGTTTACTACATACAATTTATGAAGGGTTGGGCATGAGTCATGGAGCAGTCAAGGAAAACACTGGCCAAAATGTGCACAAGCTCTGTATGAAATAAGTTTAATGATGGGACTAATGAACCACTCACTGACTGTGTTTAAATATCAGAGCCTCAAGTCGGTGTGAAAGTGCAGTGAGTGCAACTGAAACAAATCTCATCTCTCGTCTGCGTTTAATGGAAGCGACTGCCCTCTGCTGGCTAATTCTTGTCATTACCAGCCTTCTTCTAAAGCATGCCTACGGATTCCAGCAGTTCATGAGCGCAATATGGGGCCCTAAATTAATTCTTTAACATCAATTTAAATCAAGTAACAAATTGCTTCATTTATACTCTTCTTCATCTTCAGTTTGTTGTCAATGTTGCAGATTGTGTTGATTCCAGGAAAAAAAAAAAGAAAAAAAGAAAAAGGACAGCCAACTACTGCTAGCTGAGCTCAGCCGTTTATCAGCCAGCAAATAAACATGGCTTCAGCAGACTGCCTCCATATGGCTCCATGCAGGAGAGCCTCCCCTCACTTTCTGATCAGTCAGCAGAGAATCAATGTGCTCTTAACAGAAAATATTGTCCTCCATCGGTCATCCACGTCGTTCACCACATGTGGCCTCGATTCAGACACACCAACGCTGACCTCCGCCCTCTGTAGAACATCGTGCTACCACAGGAGCTCCATGTCTACTCAGTATGTGTGCAATACTGAACATTTCTTTGGACAAACAACAGCAGAACAATGGTACAGTATGTACAAAAAGGATCATAGCAGTCAAAGATCTCAGCCAACAGCTATGTTTCCTGGTACCTGGTTAAAATAAAACAAGGAGCAAGCATGAGACAGAGAGCAGTGGTGGGGCATGTACTAATCTTTTAATAAAGTAAAGTGGCAATCTTACTATATGAAAATGCAAATGAAACTCCCATGTGCTTGAAATGGTATGTAATAAAAAAATACTGAAAATGTAAAAACAAAGTCTTTAACTGCTTCAGGTTGACTCTAATTATAGATGCAAGCCGGTTAAAGTGGAGATAATTTGAACTTAAAATGCGAGGTAGCTCAGCATCTAATTATGCCTCGTACGGCGTAATGACATGTTTTCCATGAACAAATCGACATCTAAACACAGCCTCACAAAATCAGAGCAAAAATAAAAAAGCTGAATATTTTCCTCTAAAACTAGAGGACAGTATCGATACATTTTGATTATTTTGCCCATGTAACTTATTACATCCATTCCCATTACTAAAACAATTTAACTACAATGAGATTCAGGCGTATTTTCCAGCCTGTTGCAAAGCATCATTTCACTGCCTACAGTTTAAAATGCATAATCCCGAGTGGGTGTGATTCTCCTTGGAAGCCTATTCTTTTCCTTGTGTTATTGTTAAGAACCAGTAAAACTGGTCTCCAAAAAAAAAGTCTCCAAAAACCGGTTTGAGACACCCCCCCCTTCCTCAACAGATTTCTTTTTGTGGCTTCCCCTTTGCGTGCATGTGTCAACTCACTCTCTGTGATGTGAAGACCAGTCAGTCAAAGCTCCCAAAGAGTTCAGCTGCTCCTGCAGCGCTAAAATCCTTAGCCCGATGTATCCGGACACCAACAGGAGCAACACCAGCCTACAAACACCCACAGTAAAGTCTTGAATGTGTGTTGTGCAGGAAGAACTACAGCCTGAGAGTCTAGGATGAGTACATGTTGTACAGGACTAACAGCAGGATATCAGAGACTTGGATCTGTGTGCAGCCTTGATAACATTTCCACAACCAAGGTTTAGATATTTGTCTTTCCTGGAGAGTTTGCAGCCATTCCAGTAAATCAGTATGAGAAAAAAAAGCATGCCAAGATCCAGTAGATGTGTGAGTGCTTTTGCAGTTTTATACCTCAAAAATATGAATTTTGGTCTGCTGAAAAATTCTACATAAAGCAATAGCTCATGGTCCTTTTTTCCCTTCAAACCTTCAGTGTTTTAGGATGTACAGTCAGTTTCAGTCAAACTCACAGCTGTGACTAGAATCGTGTTGTCATGGACCCTGGGTTTTGTGTTTTTATGTGATTTCTTCTGATTTGAGAAGTGATTCATGTTTAATTATTTATAGTTTCCTGCTTTTACCCCCTGAAAGTTGATTCTGTTTATCTGGACGTAACGTTTTCAGTGGGAGAAACGTTTCATCACTCATCCAAGTGACGTCTACAGTCTCTGCTGACTGCAGGTTTCCCCAACCCCAACCACTGATCAAAGACCTTGAGCAGTGGTTGCTGATCAGTGGTCATGACAATTTGCATATTAATGATCAAGAAGCTGACCTCACAGCCTAATGTTCCTTCAGTGGTGCTAGTTTCAGTCATTGTGCAAATGTACTGTTTATAAGATTGGGGAAACCTGCTGAGAGTACAGAAGTCACTTGGATGAGCGACGAAATGTTTCTCCCACCAAAAATGTTACGTCCAGATGAACAGAATCAACTTTTTTTGGATTTCCTTACCTGGATGATTGAGCATGCATCAAGAAAACTTTTCCCTTTAGTTCCTAGTTAACCTAGATGACCTAGATGACCTAGTTGACCTAGTTGACCTAGTTGACCTAGATGACCTAGATGACCTAGTTGACCTAGATGACCTAGATGACCTAGATGACCTCGGACTAATTAGTTCCTTTTTTGTGTTCCCATCATGTTCCTTCAGTCTTGTCTGTATGTTTGTCTTTTTGTTTCACTTTAATCTGATCTCCCTGTACAGTTTTGTCTCTTGTTTCCTGTTGTATTTTGCTCATCTTATTTCTCTGTGTCATGTTTCACGTTTTACTTCCTTTGTCTTGTTTTGTTGATTAGTTTCAGCTGCCCTCCCACCTGTTTCCGCTCCCCTCATTATTATAGTTAACTAAATATAGAGGAAATATCCTGGGTTTTATTATCTGTTAGTTCGGTAAAAATTTTAATACGGCTTTCCTGATGAGACGTTGATTGATGCCTTTATTGAGACAAGACCGTGAGGGAATTGCTTTTAAAACGTTCCGTGTCTTTATTGTAATACCTACACTGATTTTCCTAAATCTCGCCTCTGACATATGTCACTCATACAAGATAAAACTAAGACTGAAATGGATAAAAACTACACTAAGGGTAAACATTTAAAAAGAATAAAAGAAATAACTGAAAGGTGAAAATCTACGCTGGAAACTAAACTGAAATAAAAACAAAAAGTCAAAATCAAAGAAAAATAAAAGCTAATTAGAAAATGTGAACTTATAATAACTCTGGTCGGAGTCCCTGGATGTTGTGTTTCCTTACCCTGTGTTGTCCCTAAAGATCTTTTTGCACTCTTGTGTATTACCAGCGATAAAGCCGATTTTTGAATTTATTCCTGTTTCCCTGAGTCCTGCGTTCAGGTCCACAATCTGCCTTCCACATAGCTGGTCTATAACACAGAAGCTGGGTGAAGGCGCCGTCTTTAAATTTCTAATCTCCTTCCACATCGTTACTGTTGAGATGACCCTAATGGTACATCATGTTTTCTTCCTTCTACAAAGAAACTGCTCACTACAGATTTCAAGCAGTATTTATCTATGAATCTGAAAACTATACTCACAGCACCATGTAGATGTGGAAGACAACACTGAGAGTCTTAAGTTCTGGCAGTTGTGCAATGAACCTCCAAATCCACAGTCCAGCTGACATAGACCAAAAAAACAAATAAAAAAAATTAATACTTGTTCTACAATCACACGACTCTGTATGGCCGCAACATGTGTGTGTTTGTATTTGAATACACACCGCTGTCTTCTTCATCTATTATGCTGTTTTGACGAGTGGAGTTGGCTGTGCTGGGGCCTGAAAAGACATTAAGACAAGTAAGCTCAGCAATTAAACCCCTTAATGTAATTTTTTCAAATAGAAAAGTGAACTTTAACAGTTAAAGTCAAAACCATTAAGCGGTGATGATCACCCATCAGTGCTCTTTAGTGTCTTTCCTTTACCTTCACTGGACGTCTGAAGAAAGCTGGTATCAAGAGAGTCACTGCTCGGAAAATCTACACGGTCGTCCAAACTGGAAAAACTGGAGAATTGCTGACAAAGAGAGAGATGCCATAAGATAATTTATCACTACGCAGTATGGCAAGATAGTCGCTAAGCTGCTACAAGATTCCTGCAGCTGCTGAACGTCAAACCTACCGGATTGTGAGCTTCGTTCTCTGCAACAGCCAGATGAGGGCTGCTGTTTACAGCCTCCGCCTGTTCGAAACAAATGAAAAACAAGTTCAGAAAAAAACAACAGCTCGTGTTAGCCTGAGAAATGATGCCTGCACCTGCATGTGTGTCCGGGGAGCAGCAGCAGTACCTGCGCATATGAGCACACACTTTGGAGGAGTTTGTAACACTTCTCACGGTTTCTCAAAGACATAAACGAGTACTGAGGGAGAGAAAACAAACAAGCAGAGGAAAGGCTTAAATCTCAGTGTTTCCCCGGAAAGTTAATCTGCAATGTTAGCTCGACAAGCTGTCAGGCTCACTGCAGGAGGCCCGATCACAGTTAACACACTGTCCATCATTTCCTTTTACCAGCTGCTAAACCAACCGGTACATTTGTGTCAAGTCAAGAATGAACACTTATTTTTGGAGATCTCGTCATTTGTAAATAAATGAATGCTACCAGATGCTACATTGTGCTGCTGGTTTCTAAATGAATTTTGCGCGTACACAGTAGACAAAGTAAAACACATATTAAGGAACACATAATACACATTATAAAAGGTAAAAACTACACAACAAGCAGTCTGAGAAAACAAATGTCCACCAAGGCAGCTCACTCACTGAGCAGCGTTTACTTCTAAGGGAATAATATAGATTTTTCTGTACATTCATCTTGTTTTCTTTGTTCTTTTTAAACATACTTTAAGAATTTTGTAGTGCAGACTTCTGTTAATTGGCCTGTTTCAACCTATTTTAATTATTTTCATTGTTTTTTTTATTTATTTGGAAACACTACATGTGTAATATTTGTTTTATTGTTTAGTAAAAAAAAATTACCCATTAATTACCAAATATAAAGTGAAAAAAGTTTTGTATTTAAACGGTTATAACCTGTTATTCTAATGTACGTAAGAAAGTCATAATAAAATTATGTCCTTGGTGGCTGTAAGCCAAATTTTAAATGACTGTTAGCATGACCTCAGTCTACACCTCTACAGAGTTTGATCAGAATTAATTCAGAATTTTTTGAGCTATCGTGTTTACAGACAGAATGACATGCACGCATGCAAAATGCTAACACAAGCATAACCTGTGTGGTGGAGGTAACCAAAACCTCCCGATCATCCATGCTTACACGAATCAACTTAGCTGAACTCAAAAGTATCCAGTTAAAAAATTATGTTTTCAGTTTTTTGAGGCCCTGCGATAAACTGGCGACCTGTTTGAGGTGTACCCCGCCTCTCGCCCTGTGGTAGCTGGGCGACCCTGATAAGGATAAGTGGAAGAAAAGTGCTGGATGGAGTTCTTTGAGTTGTAGGTAAGAAGTTCAACAATAAAGAAAGGTTTCTGCTTTCACAACTATAATTCCCTTTAGATGTAAACTTCGTCATTGAGGCCAGAAACCCTGACAGGGTTCCCCGTGATACTGAGCACCAAAGCAGCCAGCTTATTAGAGAGCAAGTTAAGTTTCTGATAGCTTTTGATTTAAATACTTAACCGCAGAACTACACTTTACATCTGTAATGCAAAGACTCAACTGCTACTTTTAAAGGTGTGTGCTGACCTTCTCTTCAGCAGTCTGTATAGAAAGCATAGACAGGGCTGAGCCATGTTTCTTCACATCCTTTATGCTGGAAACAGGAATCACCACCTGCAATGTATGAATGGTAATGAGTGTGGTTTTCTTTAGAAACTTACAGAGCTCATTACAGTAAAATGACATGCCAAACGTTCACAAAGTGAAACAAGCAGAAACAAACCCCAGAGCAAGTTGCTGTGTCGTTCTCTCTTCAGGTATGATAAATGCTAAAAATCCTAGTGAAATACCAGGATTTGGACTTGTAATGCTGACTGCTCCTCTGTATCTTTATCTAGAAAATCCAAATGATCTCCCTTTGATTGTAATTTTGCAGCTGGGAAAGTCCAAGTACTGCAGCTCCTGCCATCACATTTCAGTGTGTGGTGTAAGTTTGAGTTACCTTGGTGTCTTTGAGCAGCACAGATGAGTAGAAACACACATGGTTCTGAGAAACAAAGAGTTTTCCGTGATACAGCACTTCCTTCTGCAGGGAACACGTGAAAGCTGCAACAGATACACACAGTTCGAAGGCATTAGGTCACTGTTTCTAAGGTGATACCCACACAACACCAGAGCCATGACTGCTGAAACATTTACTGAAGCGTTTCGGCCGTGCAGTCACCCCAGACCGCTTGGAAAACAAAGCATTAAGTGGCACTTCATCTGGCAGCAAAGACATCGGGGACACTCTGCGAAGCCATTTCCATAATCAATATTCGCAAATGAGTTACAACCTCTGGACCTCAGCTCAGCTCACCGTGTGCCAGGCTGTCCCACACAGGAATCTCTGGAAACAGCTTGTTGAAGCTTTTATTGTGCTTGAAGTACTGCAGGGAATAAAGAAACAAAAGGTTTTCATTCAGACTTGTTTCAGATACAGAAGAAGAAGAATCAGGTTTGTTAACTGACTTCGAGACCTGCACTCAGCATCAGTATACAAACTTTTGAGCTGCCAAGCTTGTCATCAAACATTTACTTATTTAAACCCTCCAGCAGTTAGAATTTGCTTTGTCTCTGAATACCTGGTAAATGGCCAATAACCAGCCTGCATTGAACTCTAGTTTAGATCACTCGTGGCTCTAAATTGTCTACTTCCTCATTCATGTAGTTGATAACCATGTGTATCTGATGTTACATTGTAAAGCTTTCCCATCTGGGATGTCCGAAAATGCTACGAGAAACTAGCTTGAAACTCAGCCCTGAAGCAAGAAGATAAATAACAACCTAAAGGTAACCACAAAGCCCCTTAAATCCAAGTAGAGCGTCATATTCAGGTAGGTTTCTTGCATTCACTTTGTCACATTGCTTTCATGTTGGAACATAATGCATTGCCACTGTGAAAACATTATTCATGGCCGCCTCAGTTCCTGTGCTGTGAATAAAAGGGAACAAGAAGGAGCAGGGTAAAGGGAAGCAGGCTTACGTGATCATCTGATCGCTGAAGATTCTCCTCTGCTATGGTCTGCTCTCTGATGACACAAAGGCACAATAGTAACACAAATGAGATAAGGATGTTTTCAGGGAGATATCTGACAGTCTGTGCAGCTTTAACATTTTAAACATTCCAATACTTAGTAAATACCCCCCAACCCTGTGTAGTGATGAAGGAAGACTCTACCTCAGGGCCATGTTGGAGTCAAGGCTGTGAATTAGTTGGCCCTCCAGTTGTACTGCGTCCAGCATCGTGCTCTGTTTATTTTTCTTTGTACTAGATCTAAAACTGCTTCTTCTCGTGCCAAAAATATCACTTCCTTCCACGATACTGTCCCAAGAGACCAGGATATAAATGTCAGACTGATGATCCAGCTTTTATATTACCCACAGACACACGCTATCAATATAGAACACCAAAAAGGTAATGAAATCACAGCAAAATAGAAATTAATGCATTTCTCCCTGATGGATGGGTGCCAGCTCCTGCGTGGCGATGGGGAAAATGTTACAATCTTCAGCTATTTTGTTTGCATCAGTCACAGAATGACTTTTCACAACGATGAATGGAGCTCATCAACAGGTACAAGAAAGATCTGATCGCCATCAAAGCACTCTTGAACATTAACAAGGTACAAGAAAATAATATGCTGTTCCTACACTCTCTTCCAAGTCCTTGAGCAGCCTTTTAAGCACCAGCTGTGCCAACTTTCTGACTGTCTGCCTCGCAGACCGGTGGTTAGTCTGCTGTCTCCGGGCAACTGACTTGGCTCTCCGGAGGATGGTTTTACTTTTGCAAAAGCAGCCGCCACAAAGCCCGAGCACAATGAAAAACTGTACTCTACAGCTGGTATTTAGAGTGGCTTTTTGTTTTTACACTGCACGCTTAAAAAGTCAATATCACTGTCAACCGATAAAACATGTACATTAGGCACAAAGGAGGAAATGTGATAAGATAAACACTCACCCAGAGCTGTCCAGTGAGAATTTCCTGTTTTTCAGAGTCATGATGGAACATAAACAATTCCGGCTCACGCACACACAAAGTCATACACTCGAATACATAGTGTAACTGTATAACTTTATGTCTGTAATCCACGTTTACTGGCTCTGTGCAGGGCTTTGCTTCTCTTGTATTTCCTGGAAATGACTCTAAATCACCAAGGGCCAGGTGAACACAGGTGAGAGAAAAAACAAAGGACAAAGACAGCCTCCTGACGGCTGCCTTTTAATGTTAACCAATTAGCTGTGAGAGGTGGAGCTTTGCATAACAAAACCAATCAGTGAAGGAAGGAGGAAAATCTACACTGATGCAGAGTTTGCTCCTCATAGGAAGATCTTTCTATGGGCGGCACTGTCTATGTTCACCCTTTGACTTAGAGACACACCTTCTAGACCCACACGCATCAGCACACACAATGAGAAGGTATGCAGAGACAACCGTCATGAGATTTAGATATGACAGTAACATTGTTGTCTGTCATGCAAAACCTTCAGCCTGCATAGATTAATATCACATGGAAAGAATGACGGACACACAGCAGAGGATAGCGTGACATGACATATTTTTATGTAAATATTGCATCACTGTACAGACAGTAGCTTAAAAAAGATACTGCCAACCGCCAGTGCTACCACTTTTGAAATCCTACGATGCTTACTTTTTGTGTTATTACATTTACAGGATTTTCCCAAAAAATGGACTTCTGAACTTTAGGACACTGAGATTCAAACTTGTCTGAGATTTTAGTAGATACGCCTATGGTATCAATTTGAAAATCTTACACCGCCACGTTCTCCAGTTATTGCATTCACAAGATTTTCTGAAAACCTGCCCTTTAACCTTAAGGCCAAGGTGTGCAAGGTGTCCAAAACTTGTCCAAGATTTTTGGTAAGAGAATTTTGAAAAATGTGAAAATCCTAGGTAACTTTCTTTTTAAATTATTGCATTCAGACGATTTTCAGAAAAGAGATTTGAAGATTTTTAGTCGATCCAGTCGATCCACCCATCGTATAAATACCGCAAAAAATTTCCAGGCCTATCTACATTAAAATGTTATTGGCCTTACTTTTTTGTTTTTCTTTCTCAAACTCGATTCAAACATAATCTTCAGAAAGTCATGTCTCCTTTCCTATAACATACCTGCAGCTTAGGCAAAGTTAAGGAAAATCCATAATATGATCCAAAAAGGCCCAAAAAGCACAGTGTACTATATGTAACATGAAGAAATACTGTTTGATTTTCCACAAAATTACACAGTGCTCAAAATGACTATATTACTTTGTATAATTAGTGTCTCCTTTCCTGTAAAATACCCAGTTTAGATACAACTTAAAATTAGTTATGCACAACTTAAATTTACTTACTGCATAATTATTTCCTTGTTTCTTGTAAAAATATGACTTGTTCCAGTGTACCCACCTTTTAAATATAAGGCACATATAATTACCAGGGACTTATACCAGGTAGTTAAATGGAAGACATGATTATAAAGTGTTACCAAATCATTTGGTCTTGAAGTAATGAAAAAGTAGAATTGCTGATGCTTGCTAACTTTTCCTTAAGAGTCTAAAAGAAAAAGCTCAACACTTTAATTAGTAATTTACAGCACAGGACTGGGTGATTTATGAATGTTGTTGCTGAAGGTGATTTAAAGACTGCAAAAGCTGAAGCTAGCGCCTTTTTCCTGATGTACATGATTCATTTGCTGTGTGTTTAATTTATATCGTTGTGTTTAGTTCATTAGTTACTGCACACTGTTCTTCCAATGGCACAGTTGATTTCACTGCACATTATCTAATAGGATGACAAATAATTTTTTGATAAAAGTCATTTTATACAGTTGTAAATAAAGTCCCTTTCTACCACCGTAACAGGTGACATTACACGTCTCCATTAATTTTCTTAATAGCATATCCAAGTTAGGGTGCAGGGGGTCCTGGGGCCAGAGGCAGACATATTGTATTTAAGTTGAATTTTCTTGAAATTAGCATTTATTTGAGTTTTATTTTATAATAAATTTGTACTTTCAATGGCACAGGCCACCCCCCCAACCAGACTGGCCACCCCAGGTGCCACCCCGAAGATAAAACAATAAAATTTAATGAAATATCAAATGCACGATTATGGTTTCACAGTGAAGCTCAGATATCCGAGTGTAAGTGAATGTAGCATCGGCTTCTGCACTATGCGCATCATGTTAGCAAAGGTAGGAGAGCCAAGCACGAAAGACGGCACCGCAGAAAACATTTTTTCGGCGAAAGATTAACTAGTTAACATAGCTGGACTGGCCATCGGACGTTTGCATGGTGGGCTGATGACTTATTTTTTTTTGTAACGCATAAACAGGTGGTGGATTGGCCAGATGCTGGCCGATGTGTGAAAATAACTCAGTTGTTTGGTGGTGGCTATGGCGGAGCTTCCACAGAGGCAACAGGTGGATGAGGGAAGGTGAGGCAGGAGGAGAGACCCGAGGCAGCCACCAGTCCGAGTGTCAGGTGAACTGAACTTCAGGTAAGAAGTTATGACCTGCAGTCTATCTGGGTCAGATATAAACCAAGTTTAGGTGGAGTTTATTTTCGTTGTGCTGACTTTTTACAGTCAGTTACAATACCTCATACTGCGTGAGCTAGCATGACGAGTTTATACAGCTGTTCGGTTGCTATGATGTTACTGATAGTGAACTTTATTTTATTCATAAGGTTAGTTAGTAGAGTTGCCAACAGCTCCTTAAACAAATGGAATGGTCCCAATGGCGTGTCCAGCGGGGTGGCCTGGGGGGGCACAGGCCACCCCCCAAACCAGACTGGCCACCCCAGGTGCCACCCCAAAGGCAAAACAATAAAATTCAATCAAATATCAAATGTCCGATTATGTTTTCACGGTGACGCTCAGATATCCGAGTGTAAGTGAATGCAGCATCGCTTCTGCGCTATGCGCATCACGTTAGCAAAGGTAGGAGAGCCAAGCGCGAAAGATGGTCACTACCGGGGGGCCGAGCAAGATGGCGGCGTGATGAGGAGTGTCTTTTCGAGCTCTCAGCACTAGAAAGATATAAAGCATTTTTACAACGCTTATTTGACGTCTTTGTAACTTTCAAGACTTTTTTAAAGATCAACACACTAAACCTGCTAAACCTGAAACCAAATTCTGCAACAACAACATGTCGAAATCTGCTCAGAAAAGGCTGAGTAACTCGGGCAAACCACATGCAACTAGCATGCTAGCTAGCGACCATAGCTACATAAGAGAAATGGAGTGTCAGCAGATGGTTGAAGAAGAATTTCCACCCCTACCAGTTACGCCTTCCAAGCCTCCGGTGGCTAAAAAACCAACACTGTCTACCAGTCACTCTGATGACGATTCCCTGAAAGCTGATGCGGTCAACACTTTGATTAATCTGATCAACACCAGAAGTGACGCAATTGAAGAAATGGTAGGAACAGTTCGTACGGATTTAAAGGACATAAGTGATAAGATTATGGTCATTGAGAAAAGGGTTGAGAAAAACGAAACGCTTACACAGAAATGTGACGAACGCATCTCTGAAGTTGAACGCTACAACCGCCGTTGGAATCTGAGACTGTATGGGGTACCGGAGTTGGAGAAGGAAGATGTGCGCGCAAAGGCGATTGGGATATGCCAAACGGTTCTACCTGCGGAGAAGGAAAAGTTTTCAGAGGTCTTAGACATCGCTCATCGAGTGGGGAAACCAAAACAAAATGACCCGAGATCCAGAGGGATCATCATCCGGTTCATCTCAAGAAGAATTCGTGATGCGGTGTGGAAAGCTGCCAAGAATAATACTTTCCTTCAAAATAATCATCTGAGGTTTACTGAAGACCTGACGAGAGAGGACAAAGAAAACAGACTGAAGCTGTGGCCCATTATAAAGAAAGCACGTGAAGAAGGGAAGTCTGCTTACTTTATTGGAGGTCGAGGCTTTGTAAATGGTGCTGAAGTTCACACATAAACTCTTCAATATTCCCTGACCCTTAGTTCTTCTCAGGTTTGTTTACAAGGTGTTCTTTATATTGATGTGCCTGATATTTGTAGATATTAATAGTTGGCTGTCTAAATTGCTCTTTGGTGTTAGCAAAAAGCCAAATTACTGTTAAATAGGTAAAACCTTTTTTGTTATGCTTTTATTAGGCGTCTAAAGTTTTTTTTATATATATTTACTCTATACTGTGAACATTCTCATATTCTAGTGCTGATCTCAGTGTTAGGTTAAAAAGTTTATCTTCGATTTACTTTTTAATACATATCTTTTCTTTGTCAACTTGTGTTCTTTGTTTTTTGTTTCTATTAATGCTAGGGGTCTTCGTAACAACTTAAAACGTAAAGCCACTTTTCTTTATGCAAAGCAACTTAAATCTGACTTTGTGTTTTTGCAAGAATCTCACTCTACTATCGACGATGTTAGTTTTTGGCGATCTCAATGGGGAAATTCTATTTGGTTATCTCATGGAACTGAACGATCAGCTGGGGTATCAATCCTAAAAAACAGATATAATGGGGATGTTTTACATACAGAATGTGATTCTGCAGGTCATTACATATGTCAAGTCATAAGATATAATGATTTAGTCTTAATTGTTACTAACATATATGGGTTTAACACGAAGCTAGAAAATGATCATTTATTTTTGACGATTGAAAAAAAAATGTCTAGCTGGTTAAATAAATTTCCAAATGCAAAATTATTACTAGGTGGAGACTTTAACTGTATTATGGATGCTGAATTAGATAAATTTCCTCCAGGACATTTGAAAAGAATTAATACCACATTGAAGGCTGTTATGGTACGCCTGAAACTTACAGACATTTGGAGATTCAAATTTCCTCAGTCCAAAATGTTTACTTGGTGCAACAATTCTAACTCGAGACATTCAAGGATAGACTTTTGGTTAGTCTCAGAGAGCTTTGACAGCAATAGCATAGATGTAGGTGCTTGGCCTTCTCCAGCAACAGATCATAAAGCCATATATATTAAAATAAATCTAACTTCTCTACCTAATTCTTCTGTTGTTAAATTTACATACTGGAAACTCAACAGCTCATTATTACAAAAAGACGATGTGAAAAAGGATCTTAAAGAACTGATCTCAAACTTTTGGTCTATAGCTCAAGAAGATTTAAAATATGGTAATAACTGGGAATTATTAAAATTTGAAATTGGCAAATATTTAAGAAAGATTGGCAGCCTTAATGCAAAATCCAAAAGATTGGAGGAAGAAAATATAATTTCTCAAATCACACAGTTATCTAATAAACGAATTGACACTTTAACTGAAGAGGATAAAATGAACCTTGCTAAATTACAAGATAAATTAGATTGTTTATACACAGACAAAGCAAAA